GTGTACTCGTGTAACGCACTTGTCATCTGCTTGAGCAAGTCTTGAATACTTTGGAAACTTCCACCTCCGGTGAGTTTTAAAGGAATAATAACTGATTCCTCTTTATTTGTCCCTTAAGGCTGCAAGAATTTTCTGAGCTCAAAGTAACACCCTGAGCTGGGAAGATTTACCACGTGTGAGAATAAATGATCTCACAAAGACCGACTTCCCACTCTCCTGATAATTCGATAGGTTTTGCTAAATGTACAATAAAATCCAAGTGTTATTTTCAAAGGTCCCAGCATTCGAATTCAAAGGAAGTGTGACGTAAAAACCGTGTGTTGGATATCCCATATTTATCTCCCGCGGTGCGTAAGCATACTGACGTTTGTGAATAACGATATGTAGGTTTTTTACGCGCGGCGTAGGCTGGCGTTCTGGCATCTGTGAATTGCAGCTATGTATGTTTTTTACGCSCGGCGTAGGTTGACGTAGTGACGTTTGTGAATTGCAGCTATGTAGGTTTTTGTTTGTTTTGTTTTTATACGTGCTAATCACATACGTTTTATTAGCTCGCTGGCTTTAATCCATGAATTAAACTTGTCTGGCCAATTTTTCCAGCTACTGTCGTCCTGTCGTTCACCTCTGAACGTGCGTTTTTTCAACACTTTATCGACCTGGTACACTCTCTCCTGGTCTATTTCGATCTTTTGCAATTCCTGCTCGTAGAAAGATCCCTTTATCTTTTCGCCATCAAAGTCTATAATTTTATAAACAGCTGGATTTTGGTAAAGGCATTCTGAGATTGTAAATATTTCATCTGTGAAACTTTGCTGGTATTTCTTATCAAAAACACCTGGAAGTTTAGAGATTCTAACGTGATCACCTTTCTTGAGATTAAATTTGCATTTAACTCGTTTAACAGCTCCGTACAAATAGTTGAAAACCTGCAGTTTGTTTTCAGCACATACATCTACAKGGCGCATTTTAATGCTTGAATGAAAAGACTCGTTGTAGCTTTTTACAAAGTCCTGAAGCGCGTCCACATAATGCAGCTTGTTTTCAGTTGTAAAAAATTTCCACATCCTGGTTTTCAGCGTTCTGTTAAAACGCTCCACATCCGAGGCCTTGACATCGCTGAACGTGTAGAAATGCACCACGTTGTGCTTGTCCATTAAACTCTGAAATTTCTTATTAAAAAATTCCGTTCCTGCGTYCGTTTGAAGTTTTCTGGGCACCCCGCTCTTGGCGAAAACAGATGCCTTAGCGTTGGTAACTTGAGCAGCTGTTTTGTTTTTCAGAACTCTTACGTAAGCACGTTTTGAAAACACGTCAATCACGGTTAATAAAAATCCATATCCATCATTGAAATCAGAACTAAAAATCTGTATGCATCGTTGAAATCAGACAGATTGTTCATGTCGCATAAATCGGCCTGAAATTGTTTCAGAGGGCCCGAGACAAAAACTTTATTCCTGGGAAAATGTATCCTGGCTGATTTATGCAGAGTGTATGCATCTTGACTACTTAAAAATGTTTTAATTTTACCAGACTCAATATCCAAACTAGTTTGATCTCTCACAGCAGATTGCAATCTCTGAATACCTCCAAAACTACCAGGGTTGTTTGGAGTGTAATAAATTTGTTTTAGGATTTTCTGTTCTTCCATC